GTAGTTTCGAATTTCTTAAGCTCACTTGAATAGTCTTTGCAAATTTCCCTAGTCAATCTTTCCGGATTGAGAACATTATGGTGACCCTTGCTTAAGTTTTCTTGTTAGTTACATATCAGTATGTTCATCACTTACCTTTTCTTAGTAAATGCATTACAGATACATTTCAGAAAAGGAAAAGCAAATAAAGAAAAAGAAAAAAAGTAGGAGGGAAGTGTCCTGCTTGTTTTTAAAAGTTATTTGGGTGATGGGCCCTCTCAATAACGCGTTTTAATTTATAATTTCTACTTTCCACACGTTAATGACTGTTAACGTGTGGAAAGTAAAAAATTGTAGTCACACTTTTTGGAATTATTATATATCTCAAAGAAAAATGAAAGAGGAAAGTGTCTTGCTTCTTGTTGAAAGTTATTTGGGTGATGGATTGGCCCTCCCTATAACATCGTTTTACAATTTTCTACTTTATAATGATTGTTAATGTGGGGAAAGTAAAATATTCGGGGCTTATGTTGATGTTTATTCACATTTAATTATTAAATTAATATTAACGATTTGTTGATTTGAGTGGAAAGAACTCAGTTTTTGTTAAACAAGATCTCGAGTTTGGATCTTGTGAATGGAGAAACAGGCGTTGAGAGAGTTTTCCCGCTAATAGGGTTTGATACGATTCGATTTCAGATTAGTCGAGACTCAATATGATTACCAAATACTGAGAAGTTAATATAAAAAAAAATTATTAAATTAATTATTTAAATTTCTCGTTTTGTGGAATACTTGAAGAGAAGCATTTACTTTACTCATCGTAACATTAAAAGCACGTTGTTAAAAGAAGACAAAAAAGAATATGAATTTTTTTTTTTTTTGGAACCGAAGAAACTTGAGGGTGAGGACTGGGTGCCTAGGTTTGAACTGAGAACTTTAATATCTTAAACACTGTCCCTCTTAGAGGATGGCTACTAGGTCAATTAGTAATGGATAAAAAAAAAAAAAAAAGAACATGAATTGTAGCAATGAAATGGCAAGAGAAGGTTTGAATACAGAATTACAGACTTCATCTTATATATATCCAGAGCTATGGCAAGCTTGTCTCTAAAGTAAAATTTGTTTATTAATAAATTTAATTTTTAAAGTTAAATTTAATATTGTATAAAATGATTACATAAATAAATGACTTATTAAAGTGTTTATAAATTTATACAATTTGTAATTATAAGAAAAATACTTATCTAAAAGCATTAGTGCTATTTATGAGCCCCTACTTGATCTGAGGATTTAAATTTGAATGGAGGTAATCAACTCAAAAGCGTAGTAGTTGCGTGTTCTTCAATCTCCTTTGCAAACTTTTATAGTCAATTAATGTTATCAGCTAAGTCTTCTTCTTAGAAGGTAGGGGATTATGTCTCTTCCTGTCATGTATATGCATTCATCTGAAAAGTCTTTGCAAATTTTTCCAATTAATCCATCAATCAGTGACAGAGCCAGTATAGGACGGGGAGCAGCCACCCGACTAAAATGAAGTAACATGAATTGTAGCAACAAAATGGCAAAAGAAGGTTTGAATACTGAATACAGAATTACAAACTTAATCCTATATATATCCTAAGCTATGATAAGTTAGTCTACAAAATGATATTTATTTATTAATAAAATTAATTTTTAAAATTAAATTTA